CAGACCAAGAGCTTCGTCTTTATGGATAAAAAAGCTCTACCTAGTTCAAGGTTAAATAAATCATTACTAAAACTACTAAACGTCAATCGAAAATCGCTTTTGCACCGTCAGCGTAATCCGTGCGCGGGCGCAGACAGCGCGGCGCGGTCATCGCCCGCGCGCCCTTGGCACAGATCCGACAACCGGCGCGGCTAACGAAAGCGCCACTGGTCTATGCTTAACTGGTTAAAGACTGTATACAGAAGCTTATCAATTGAAACGTAAGCATACATTGAGATTGAAAGTTAAGAGAAAATTTTGTTAGTTTATTTGGCACTTAATAAATTATACAAGGAAATAGATAAGCAATAGTCGTGATATTGGGGCATTGGGGCAGCGGTAAAAAAACAATAAAACATATTTTTTATTTTGAAAGAAAACTAAGTCTTTAGCATTTAAAGACCATGCTGCGCACGTATAAGCAGTCCATCAAGTAAGTGTTTAAACGACATTGCCCAAACGCGAGGCTTTAAAAACATATATTTTCTATTAACTGACACTAAACTAATAAAAACCATGTGTCGCAAAAGATCTCAAATAATTATCATCAAATTAAAAGTTTTCCTTGGTAATTTTTCAGAGATAGACAAGGTGTTAAGTATTTTAGGAATAAAAAAAACTAGATTACCCTGAAACTGAACACAATCTGTTCCTTCAAAGATCGTTTGTGGTCCGATTTTATTTACATGGCCAATTTCATCAAGCCCCCTGCTGTTTTAGCGAAGGCTGTCAAAATTAGTTTCGCCAGAGGCACTTTTATGACAACGCTCTCCTTCTGCGTTTCCGTAAAACCGCGCAAAAGGTCATACAGGTCATGACAACAATGTCAAAATGAACATATTTGACATCGCGAAATTGACAAATTTGTTTTTGACTCACTTTTTCCCTGACAGCGAATAAAAGAAAAGATACCATGCAGCTTAACAACAATAATTGAATTGTTAAAAGTATTAGTAATGGCTAATTACGCAGCACAAAACGGCTGAATGACTTCTTTTTAAAAAGTATTAGGTATCAATGAAGAGGAAACAGAAATGTGTCACACTAATTTACCTACTCAGTTACCTAACTGTACTGTTATGTAGAACATGAACATTTATTTTCTTTTTGTTAGCATCTGAACGTTAGTAACCTGGTGAACCAGTCAAGTAGGTATTTACTTAACTCGGTTACATCTTTATATCTTTAAAAGCATGTAAGTATGACCTCACAGAGTGTCAAACATACTGACACCAATCGTGGTATCATCATGTGTATTTACTGGAGCCATTGACACGATTACGCGATCTCACCGCTATAGGCTGTATTGCTTAAATTGAGTTAAAATGAATCTGTTATCACATACTATCAGAGGATTGACCAATAAAATATGACATATTGACATCACAATAAAAATCCAATTTAAGTGCGAAATTATTATCTCTCCTACTTAGAATAAATTTTAATATTACTTTCAGAAAAGTTACATTTTCATATTCATAAGTAGGATAATGAAAATATTTGTCTCCATCGATATGATGAAACGTACCTACTTTATTTAAAGCAATTTTGAGGTTTTCCTGAAATAAAATAATTTGGTCTATTTTGCGTATATTTAAGAATCCGTTTACCTTAAATGAAGGGTATATGCACAATGTTGTTATGAACTACAAAAGTGCACAAACAAGAATATCTACTATATAAAAATAAGTCGGGTTTTCCTCCCTATTTCCACGGTTTTGCATTCGTTGGAAAGGTCTCGGGCTCCGTGAGGTTTATAGCAAAGAAAATTCGGGAAAAGGGGGTAAAACAGGATCCACGCGTACGAAGTCGCGGGCGGCCGCTAGTCTGTTCATAAAAATAAACCTTTCTAATTTCTACATGTCATGTCATTGTAATAACTACCTAAACTTGCAAAATAACCGCTTATCATAGGTTGTTAACAAATTCCCACGTGCAGAGCCATCGCGGAGGCACGTTCAGTGGAACCTGATCTGAACAGTAGCGGGGCATCCAGTAAGCCCCAGTATCTATCTTGACCTTGGGTCACTTGATCATATCAAGGTCATCTCTTGACCCCAAGGTCAAAAAAGTGTTGGGATATTGACCACACGAAGGTCATCCTAGAAATTGTAACCTCTTTAATTTGGTATAACGTGTCAATATCAATCATCAATTTCCTGTCTTCGTACTTGCTAACTTTGATCAGTTTCTCCAGATTCTCATCTCAGTCAGTTTATCTCATCTTTTGATGATGCAGGCCGCTACCAACCGTGCGATGTGGAAGTCATTGGGGGAGGCCTATGTTCAGCAGTGAACGTCCTGTGGCTGAAATGATGATGATGATGATGATGAGCAAATTAAGTAGGTATAAAGCCTGGTCCGTGAGCACGTAGAATCCCGTCCAATGACCCCAAGCTACCCACCCCTATCGCTCGCGCGTGCGACGGGCGCCCGCAGTGAGTGTGCGAGCGCGACAGCAACATAATTACGCGCGAGCGATAGGGATGGGTAGCTTGGGGTCATTGGACGGGATTCTACGTGCTCACGGACCANTGAGCACGTAGAATCCCGTCCAATGACCCCAAGCTACCCACCCCTATCGCTCGCGCGTGCGACGGGCGCCCGCAGTGAGTGTGCGAGCGCGACAGCAACATAATTACGCGCGAGCGATAGGGATGGGTAGCTTGGGGTCATTGGACGGGATTCTACGTGCTCACGGACCAGGCTTTAGTTATTATTACGCGTGCGTGGCGACTTTTTATAAGATGATAAAGAAATTGGCATCTATCTACTTGACCAGGCCTAAGTGAAGAATACCCACTGTGTCCTCCTCTTGTGTGGTCACTGGTCACATTAACGTCACATACACGGCTAATACTATTGTTATACATAATAGGTAGACCCTAATTGACTGCTAACACGACATCTTGTTGACATATAAAATGTATGTATAATGTCGCCTAGATAACTGATAAGTATTTAATAGATCATACACATCAGACCCAGTTTCTTCCACCAAATCGGAGTAGAGAGACGAGAAGAGATGTGTAAATAACGAACTCTGATTGGTTATTCGAAAAACATCTCCTCTTCGCTGTGATAGAAAACGGATCTTAAGAGTCGCAACGCAATAAACGTTAAAGACTCCGATACTAGCATTTTTTAAACCCAGCGGGATTCAAACCCTCAACCCAAAAACCTCAAACACAAGAAAGTAGTCCTTAACTTAGAGATTATTTTTGGTAGATATCTGAGTTTGTCCCGGTGTTTCTTCTCAGCACTTACCATAATGTTTATCACGTGCTGGTAGGGCCCAAAAAATATGGAGACATGTTAAAAACCCCTTCACGGCTACCTTTTTAAAATGAAACTTAACTGATGTACTTGAATTTGACTGATGTACTTAAAGGACAATGTTCGTTCTCCATACATTGTTCGCCGTTAGATCAACAGTGCCGAAATAATACTTTCTAGGTTCTAAATGACACAAATCTTTATGTAAGAACAATTATTCCTGGCGGACCAATTCTATAAACTTATTGATAGCCATGGACCTATAAAAAAAGTCGGACGGAGTCTCATCAACAAAATACTGTGACATTAGGATACACCAGCTTGCCTGTATGTACAGGCCGGCACGCACACATTCACACCCTGTTACACCACTTCGAGAGCAAACTTCACACAGTTGACACATTTAAGCAGCGAAAAAACAACACGAATACGACATGTCTTGTGTGATGAAATTGTGTAAAAACCGTTCTGTTCGAACAAACAAAAATTAAGGAATCACATTTCACAGGTAAAATAATAATCCAATCACTTATTTCCCGACATTAAAATATTGAAATTAATTGAAATCAAACGTCATTCACTCGAAAAAATAATACGTCAAAGACCAGTGTTCTCAGTTATTTACGTGGGAAAATTACCCGAAATATGGGAAATTAATAATGATTTTAGGACTTTTTAGTTATGTATTACGCATACTATGGAAATAAAATAATTTATCATAATTATTGTGTTTTAATGGGATATATTTTCATAGGCAAATTTGATCCTTCCCAAAAATGTGGAACTGCGAAATTCAAATTTTCTTACATTGATTGCAAGTCAGTGTCAGGTTGTATGTTAAAAAATATCTATCAGAGATAATAATAATATATTGATGATGCATAAGATTATGATTATAATGTACACAAGATTCGTAATTTGTAACTGCGTGAATTTTACAAGATCGGTATCTTATTGTCTATGATGACCGCAGTCAACATCACTATTACATGGATTCCTAACAATGAAGTACGGCATTGCCTTGTGCCGATTTTACATAGATTTTATCGACACAAATTATGGAACTTCATAGGATATGGAGCAGGCCACGCCCTAAAATGTCCGGATGTCGTCATAGTATTATGGAATACATATAAAATACTTTTATTATTTCATTTTTTAATCCTCAAGTGTCCGTTACAATCTAATTAATATTTAAGTATTCAAAAAGTAAGAGATTAATTTTGATACTTTACTGCTGTGCCCAGGAATCTAAGGCGGTTTCTGACAATGTCCTTTGACTATTCTTACCGTTAGATAATTCCTGGCAATAAGTGGTGACTGAGTTTGTTCCGGCGTTTCTACTCAGCACTTGCCATATGTTTGTCTCGAAGCGCTGGTAGGGCCCAAACGATAAGGAGACATGTAAAGTGCCCCATAAGGGCTACCTTTTCTTTTTTTTATTATTTTCTATTGACGTTCATAAGTGCCACTTGTGGTCTAAACTGAATAAATATTTTTGATTTTGATTGATTTTTTGATAACGTCCATTAGTTCACTTCTCCTCACTTTCCATGAGGTAAGAAGCAGGCCAAGATTTTTCTCGTTGTGGATAAAAAAAATGCCAAATCTTGTTCTGAAGTAAACTGAATACAGTACATTTAATTTCATACTTTAATATAAACTAAATATTGTTTCTGTTGCAGACGCGCGTCGATGATGTCCCCGCGGCAACTCATGCGCAACTCGAACATGACGCAGAAGTGGCAGCGCCGCGAGATTTCCAACTTCGAGTACCTCATGTTCCTGAACACTATTGCAGGTCAGTGACAACTTTATAGCAGAGAAATGATACGGAGTCACGAGGGTTGCGGAGATCCACACTTCAGGGGGAGTCATCAAACGCGCGTTCAACAACATTTGTCCACTACCTATAAATGGAATTGATTAATTATTTAAGTTTATTACCTACCAGCATGTCAAGGACAGAAAAAAGTAATTTAAAATAAAAGAATAAAACGTCACTTTTCCGTCAACCGAAGAAAAATATGGTTTCATTTGCTCTCTTCTAATACGAAATATTATGCAGAATCATTTATAGTTGTTGCAATTCGTGAAGGCGAATGAGCTTTATATGTGGTGGCTCGCTACTGTTTGTTTTTCAAAAGATTTGATACAAAAGTTAAAACATTATACCTACTATCATTATGTGCATTTACACATACACACACGTTTCGTGAGTTGCAAGAACTATACGAAAAATTGATACAACCAATCTATTAAAGTCCTTTTTGACTTTTATAGTTTTGACGGTATATTAATATAATTACGTACATCGGGTATAAAATAACGTACACGTCATATTCTCAAAATGTCATTGAAAAAAATATGGTCACTTTGTCAAAAATTTGCTGTCAAACCGCGACTCTCCCGTAGATTTTGTATAGCAATGGGAATCATGAGGTCGCGAACGAAATTATTTAGTTGAAAATACTTAGTTTTCGGCTTTCATGAGATTATTGCTTATTGGTGTCAACTACATAAGTAGGTACTCAATTAGGTTTCTTTACGCAAATAAAATAGAACAAGCAATATTCAACAGAGTAAGATACTTGAATGATCAAACGAACTTACCAAGTGAAGTTCGATCTAAATTATCCTGTTTTCGCCGAAGAGATTTAAGAGAATGGCTACTGGGTAACATCTCGCATTACCTCGGAGCAAAAAAATGGCTACTGGTTAACATCGCGCGTTAACTTGGAGCTAAAAATGGGTCAAAGTTACGCGTCGTGTCACAACGCTTATAATAAAAATGTACGAGCACTTGCACAAAATAGTTGTTACAACCAACCTTTTGTTGGGTCTAATTCTCGTCACTACACTGCACAACTTAAAATAATTACGTTTTTTGTCGGTAAAAACGTCCTGGTGACGTCACTTAAGCATTTTTCTTATACTGCGTGCGGTCGTTGCGCGTGCGCACAAAGGAATGAGACCGCTCGGACACCGAGCCCACAGCGTGGTAGGGGTGGGGTTGCCCGCTCTTTTGTTTTTTAATACTACTACGCTGAATATTGTGTGCGGATTGGGTTGTCGTACAGGGGTACTACATGGTAAAATAAATCTCGGAGGCGAAAGCAGGATAAATTTAAACTTGAAAGCATTTACAAAGAAAAGATATAAATTGTCATCATGACAGTCGTCTAGCTCTGCAACTTAAGTAGTACTTATTATTATTCTGTGCTAAATGTTTCATACTTGATTCGCACTTGATGACAGACCCTCGTCGTGCAGATTGTAATTGACACTTCAAGACGTAACATATTGCCGCGTATGATGTAAATCGAACGAAAAACCGACACCCGTAATACAGTGTGTCCGGGCATGTAGTGATCAAACTTTAAGGGCGTAATCTATGGACAATTTTATCGGTGAAAATACTTTAAATTTGGGGCTTGACCTATTTCTCGCATATTTACAAGGATTTAAGGTTTTAATTTTAAGTTTTCACCTCTTCCTTTAAAAACAAGTGATAGCGTGGGTAGTTTAACATTAATAAGCAACAATTTTATATCATGCGATAACCAATAAAATTATCTATTAGTAGAAGTAGAAAACAGATATAAGTTTCATACATTTTAAGGGTGTAAGAATGGATTTAATTAGAAATAAACATGATTTTTTTCACATATTTTTCAGTTATTTCCCAACACAAGAAAAACCAGGTCGTTAAGGTATGTTTTATTTGCATTGTATTATTAGTATTTGAGCCATTCTACAAAACGAATGTAAATTTATTAGTCTACGTCTATTAGTTTCGACGTAATTGTTGAACAGAGATACCCATTCCCAGCGGTTTCCATAGTAATCGGAATAGGTTGTGTGATTCTTTCAGGCAGTGCATTTTCACATGTCGCGTGCGCTATGGAAACCGCTGGGAAGGGGTATCTTTGTTCAACAATTACGTCGAAACTAATAGACGTAGACTAATAAATTTACATTCGTTTTGTAGAATAGCTCAAATACTAATAATAAAATGCAAATAAAACATACCTTAACGACCTGGTTTTTCTTGTGTTGGGAAATAACTGAAAAAGATGTGAAAAAAATCATGTTTATTTCTAATTAAATCCATTCTTACTCCCTTATAATGTATGAAACTTGTGTCTGTTTTCTACTTCTACTAGTAGATAATTTTATTGGCTATCGCATGATATAAAATATTAGCTTATTAATGTTAAGTTACCCACGCTATCACTTGTTTTTGAAGGAAGAGGTGAAAACTTAAAATTAAAAACTTAAATCCTTGTAAATATGCGAGAAATGGGTCAAGCCCCAAATTTAAAGTATTTTCACCGATAAAATTGTCCATAGATTACGCCCTTAAAGTTTGATCACTACATGCCCGGACACACTGTATAATGCTGAAATGTGTGCCCATACGCTTATGTTACTCAATAATTCGTTACAAGTGTTACCTATATTACTACATTCATTTGCTACTTGCTGAAACGATGCTCCTCTCTGATGGGATTAAATACATAATCAAACCCAACTGGCGTAAAAATGTAGGCTGCTTGAAAAGTTCTTGCTAAATTAGGTTACAATCACAATACCATTATGCTTCGAGCGTTCCAAAAAACAATATATAATTATTTTTTATCAATTTGGCAAAATAACTTTTAAATGAAGGACTTTAGTTCACAAGATATAAAACACTTTGTAACAAAATTGGAGGTAAAAAGGTCCCTTTAAAGGTGCAATCATAAAATGCACTCGTTTCCTGCTGACTCCTTGACCTTTCAAAGCTGGAAATGGCAGGTACCATAAATTGCGAACTAAGGAAAATAATTTTGAGGATAATATCTTTGAAAATATAAATATGTATTACCTAATATTACAGTATTTTCCTACTGTATGCAAATTTAGCCAGCCACCTAAGCAAACACTGCCGACCGAGTACTAACTGAATTCCACTATGATTTATCATTATATTATTTTCATAAATTTTTCATTTTCTAGAAAAGTTATGCAAACATCTGGTATTATACTTCCAAATGAAGAGCTCTTACAGGCTGATAACACTTCAAAAGACTTCCCTTTGCTTATATTATTAATCATTGTTAAGTACTTTCCCTTTGCATAAATATTATTCAAAATGCAACGCTACAATTTCGTACACTGCAGCGAAGCGATCGAGACCTCAAAAACCAAAACTTTATAGTATTCAATCATTGAATAGGTACAATTATTATCTTACAAATCCATGTCTCTGTAGATGCCCATGTCCAATGCTCACAACAAATTGCTCACGTAGGCCAAGATGTGTACGTTGATAGACTTCAATGCATGCAGAGGAAACTATCATGGCTGCGTCCAAACGATCAGCTATTTTCCAATAAACTGCTATGTTGTAACATGCCAGGTTATTCTATTGAGCTGGTTACACAGCCTGGTCAACAACTCGATAACTATGAGTCAGCGTCAATAGTCAATATCTATTGTAATACATTAGAAGAAACTTCACTCAAGTCACTGTATTCCTGCAAATTTTAAGTATGTTTATATCCGTTGTCTAGTACCCATAGTACAAGTTTAGCTTAGTTTCGGACTAAGTAAGACTAATTAAGGAGCAGTGTAAAATTTCGAAGGAATTATGTATTATTAAGTATTATTATTTCTTTACAACTGACATGACCCGCTACTATTGTAGTGAATCACATTTATGTTAGCCTCGTGTTTAATAAATTAAATTACCAAAGAAGGGCTAATCTGCATCAAGCTGTTGTGTCTTCCAATTATTTTAATTTTCTTTATTAGGAAAATAGGTTAATGTAATCATAATTAGATCTTATTCCTTATGAAGATGAGCAGCAAAACACTGTTTACAATAAATCTACAACATTCGAACGAGTAAAACTAATTCCGCTAACTTCATTAGCATACAATAGAAGTAGAGAGGCTACTTACCGATCAATTCGCAAATAACCTACATTAATGAGGAATTCCTCATTTCGCTCGGCTCGTAACGATGCAAATGCGCCAATTAACAAGACAATCAACTTATAGTACTTGAGATAATGGTTTCGTGTGCCATGTTTTTTCCGCGGCCCGCCCTGTGACGTCACATTGACGGTTCAATCGGTCATCGGTAAATAGGTAATTGACCATTTGAACGATCGGAATGAGTTCTCGTCTGAATGATAATTGCCTAATTTCAGTAAAAATTGTAAATGTAATTTAATTAGGTGACTGGAGTTGTCAGATGCAAGCGAGCGTAAAATTTTTAAGTAAGTAATTTTCTACTAGACGTAGATTTCAATAAGATTGTAATTTCGTCGTCTAGTTCATTATAAACATCTGAATTGAAAATAACATTTACTGATCGTGAAAATGAATGACTTCAGCCACTGCAAAAGTTCAAACCTTTAAAAAAGTATAAGTTGTATCCTAACTTACCCGGTTTGTTACGCTTCTGATTCGATGGTGTAAAAGATAAAATTGTTTCGTTTCACCGTAACTCTTACGATAAGAAGGCCTAGATGCGCAGTTGTATGAAGCGTTTGTAAAGAATATCATCATTTCATGCGTCACTTTTTACAACAACATAACTTTTTTCAATTAAAAAATACTGCGTACTTTTCTGAACAACACATTAGGTGACATCAAAAGTTCAAAATGTAAAGTATTTTTTACTTACTTGCGTACTTAATTGTCGCTATACCTATTAAATGTAATAGCTCAAGGCCGTAGCATTCGCTGAATTTCATAGTTAACACTAAAAGTGGCATCAAAAGTTGAAAACGTAAGTATTTTTTACTT